ATCAATTTCATCCCACATGTTTGCTGCACACTCGCCTGTGGTCCTGGGAATTAGACAAATGGGACACTGTCTCTTCTGGGGACTTCCTTTCCAGTGGGGAGTCAGACTGCTGTAAACAGACAAGTGCCTGTTTGGCAGTGGCAGAGGCAACGCCCTGGACCAGAACCCCTCCTTTTCATGCTTTCTTTATGTGAGTCAGGAAAATCCACTGGTAAAATGTTCCATCTTTGGGTTTGCCTATGTGGGGGTCCCTAAGAACAAAATGAGGCTTTAAAATGAAGCATCTCTTTTTCTTTCTATTCCTCCCCTAACTAGGAAAATAATAGCAAATGAAACATCTTTCTAGTATACTTTTGCCTTCCCTTTCAAGACAGGACCTCATATAGCTTACTATATGAGGAACTCACTATATACCCGAGCTTCCTTGCTTCCTTCTATGAACTTCCGAGCCTCCTGCCTTCACCTCCCTGGTGCTGGAATTACAGACATGCACCAGTGGTCAGTCTGTGCAGTGAACATCTGTAATTCTAACTCAGGGCTTCAGACATGGCTGTACAACAAACTCTCTTCCACCCGAGAGACACCTTAATCCCAGAGCTTATTCTTTATATATTTTAAAAATATGTAATGCTCCAAGGATCCGTGACCTTTTCAGGATGAGAGATGAGGCAAGCTCTCCCAGGATGACATGCTGGCCATGCTTACTAATTGTGGAAGAGAAAGGTACTTGCTATTTCATTGCAAATGAGCTACAGGGCCCCATGGAGCTGAGGCAACACTGACTGGATATGTCACTTTGATTGGAAGTAAAAATCTTCCCACTGTAACCAAGGGGCTTTGCCCTTAGGCAAGCTTGCACCAGGCCCCAGCAGCCTGAGGCGCCACGGGGTGTGCTTCAAATACAAGCTTTTAGATATTTGTGTGTGTGTGTGTGTGTGTGTGTGTGCATAGAGTCACAAAGACTCCAATTTGAGAATCTATAGAACGGTAACACCTCATTTAGCTGGTGTCATTAGGGAATGAGGGGTTCCACGTAAGTGAGTTTTCCAGATAATTGAACTTTATTCCCTCAAGAGCCAAAGCTTAAAAGACATTAACCACGTTGACAGAAGGCTCTCCTAAGCATGTAGCTCTGCCTCCAGACCCTGGGCACCCACACAGTGGTTTGGCAGCTTCTCAGCAACTTGGGTTGGACCCTCCACATCTGTTTCTGGGTTGGGTTGAGTTACAATGGCTTCAAGGAGGGTGGGTCTCAGCCCAAGCTGCACATTCAAACCATCTTGAGTTGAGAGCTCTGAAGGCTCCTGATGCCCGTGCTAACCTCAGGTCATTTAAGCCGGAGTCTCTGGGTGGCAAACTAAGGCCAGAGCGTTTACAGAGGTTCCCCTGATGAGGCCAGCATTCAGGCAAGTTTGAGGAGTAGTGTTTTCCTCCAGTAATGTCTAGGGGCCTGGGCTGGTGGCTTTGTCTGTACACTACTTACCTCAGATTCATGAGGACCTGAATCTGATCTTTAGAACTCACATAAAAAGCCAAGGTATAAGGGGCTAGAGAGATCTCCAGTGCCTGCTGTTTCTACAAAGGACAGGAGTTCTTTTCCCAGCACCCATGGTGAGTAGCTCACAACAACCTGTAACTCCAGCTTGGGGGTGGGGCGGGGTGTGAAGCACTCTTCTTCGGCCATCTGGCCTCTGCTAGCTCTTCCTTCCCCTCCCCCCATAGAGCCAGGGGTGGTGTCACACACCTGCAATCCCAGCTCTGATGTGGAGACAAGGAGATTCCTTGTGCTTGCTGACCAGCCTAGCCTAGCCTAGTGGGTCATCTTCAGGTCAATGGGGAATCTTGTCTGAAAAAAACAAAACAACCAAAACAACAACAAAAAAAACCAAGGTAGATTCAACTAAGCAATGTCCTCTGTCTTTCATATATCATACACACTGCACATACATGAACAGACACACGTGTACACATGCTTGCACATATGCCATCTAACACAGCATCTGTATACATCTATCTACCCAAGTGTCCTGTATCCTTAATCCCTGTGGTTTTCTAGTAATCTTAGAACTCCTTTTTAGATGGGGGAAGTGAGCCTCAGCATAGCAGGAGATGGCCCATTCTCTTAGTTAGGTAGCAGCTGAGCTGAGACGTTTAGCTGTCTCACTGGCAAGCCCTGCTGTTTGACAGCCCTGGCAAACGCTCCATCTGAGTCATGAGCTCTCCTTGCTTTGGATATCTATGCTTCCTTCTTCTTCCCAGTTGGCTCCTGGCAATATCTCTTTCTTCAGACTATGTGCCTGCCTCTACCCCACCTCACCATCCTGGTGTCTGGGGGTACAGGTTCACACGCACACGAGCATGTGAACAGGCCAGGATGTCAGGTGTCCTGCTCTTTCGGTCTCAGCCAGCCTTATCCCTTTGAGACAGGGTCTCTAGTGGAATCTGGAGCTGACAAGCCCAGAAATCACCCTATCTCTTGTATTCCTACTTCGAGGGTTCCCTCCGTGCAGATGGCCATACTGGCTTTTTAGGTGGGAGCTAGGGATTGAAACTTGGGTCTTCATACGTGCTCAGCATGAAGCCATCACCCCATTCTCTCACGTCTCACTCACTGTTTTGAGGTTCTGGTCTGCCTGTGGCTGGGGAGTCCAGGGTTTTCAGCTAGATTAGCTGGCCAATGCACTCCAGGGCTCCACCCGCCCCGCCTCTCCAACTCTGGGATTACAATTTTTTTTAAAAAAAAAGTTTATTATTATTTATTATTATTTTAATGTGAGGTATGGAAATTGAACTCAGGTCCTAATGCTCATGTGACAAGTACTTTATTGACCAAGTCATCTTTCAGCTCCTTTTTAGGTCCCCTTTCTGGGAGGAAGGTGCTTAAACTTGGGGCAAAAGCTCCAGAAAGTTGGTAATTTCGCCTAGTGTGCTGCTTGGGTTTGTGTCAACTTGATGAAACCTAGATGTATCCTGGAAGAGGGAATCTTAACTGAGAAAAAGCCTCCATAAGATTAGCTTGTAGGTGAGTCTGCAGGATATTTTCTTGATTAATGATTGATGTGGAAGGCCTAGCCCACTGCCAGTGGTGCCACCCCTGGGCAGGTGGTCTCGAGTTGTGTTAGAACACAGCCCTAGCAAGCAAGCCGGTAAGCAGTATTCCTCCGTGGCCTCTGCATCAGCACCTGGCCTGACTTCCCTGGATGATGGACTACAAGCTGTGAGATGAAGTAAACCCTTTCCTCCTCAAGTTGCTCTTGGTCATGGTGCTTCATCACAGCTGCAGAAAGCTGACGAAAACACATAGTACTCACGAGGCCTCTGTGTTCATGAATCAGTTCTGAAGCCGATCTCTCAGCTTCCCTTAGGGGTCCCTGGCACTGGGACTCCATCAGGATTTACTCTTTCAGAAGTGGCTGCTGGCTGAGCTCCTGTGACATACAAGGCCAGCTGGAGGCCCTTCCATAGTCCTCTCTTGGGCAGTTCTGTCATCTCTCCAGCCCTTCCCCACTTCCTATACTGCCAAACCAGGCCCTGAACCTGCCTGCTTTGATGCCTTTGTCCCAGCCTCCCTGGAAACTCTGCCCCTTCTGTCTCCGTCAGTGCCTCCTCACCTAAGGTTGCTCACTGGTGCAGGCTCTGAACAAGCTTTCCTCACTGTAGTCCGGCACCTGAGTGTTTATCTGTTCTCCATCAGGTTTATCTGTGGCCTGGACTGGTCCTGCCCACCTCAGGAGATTTGGAGTATGCAGGGTTGTAAAGTTCCAGGTGAGATGACATCTATGTTGTGGCCTATCTTCCTAGGAGAGCAGATCAAACTCCCCAATTCCTGCTGAGGAGTTGATTTGCCGCCCCATCGGGCCCTGCTTGTCCTGCGTGAGCTACTTAACTCCAGGCTTCTGGTTCTCTTTGTACCCGTGTTCTTGGTTTCTCCACGCTAGGCCTGGACTTCTGGGTACAGGACCCTGGATGGTTCCCACAGGTTCAGTCAGGGAGCAGAGGGTGGTACATCCCAGCTGGGGCCTGAATGTGTCCCCACACAGAACCTCCAGCCTCCTGGAACACTGGAACGCAAGATCTTGAGAAACCTGGGCACCACCAAGGTTCCAAGAGCAAACAAGGGGTGAAGTATTTCAAAACCTGGTCTTTCTCCAGGAACGGCCCTTCAGAGGGGCCCAAAACACACAGCTCAGTGTTTGCACTTCAAAGAGAGGGAGGCCCAGCCAGGCTCTGTGGGTAGCCCGGTCTTCCCTGTGTCAACAAGAGGAAAGAAAACAGTTCAAGCCGTCTGGCCATCCTGACAAAGGGGTTTTCCGACCAACTGGGGTTGGAGGAGGGAGTAGGGGGAAGGAGCTGCCAGCTCCCTCTGGGGCATACTGCAAACTCTGGATACCTTGGGGCTTTCTTGGTGCTCACAGCAGTCTCCAGGGGATTCCCCGAGAATGGTGGTGTCCGTGGCTCCAGCTCTGCCTGGGATGAGCTATGTTCCTGCTCTCTCTAATCTGGATAATATAAATCGGTCATACTGCTGTCCCTGTTTACTGGATGGAAAGACTGAGGCTCAGGAAGGCTCGGTAAGTGATAGAACTGGATTTCAGCAGAGCCCGCCCTGGGACCAGCAACTGGGCAGGGATAGTTTAAGTCCAACATGAACTCATGGACTTAAATAGGGTATTTTTTTCCTCCGTGCTGCTCAATTGCATGGTTCTGGGACATGAACTTTGTAGATGTCGACATAGTTTAGTAGTGTCAAAGGTAAGGCATTCCTGGTTACAGCTTGCTACTTTCCTCCACTCCTCCTTTTCTGGTCAGTGAGTCAAGCTGGGGTCCAGTGGGAGAGAAATAGGACACAGCCTCTGCCTCCAGGGAGCTGTGAGCAAGGGGAAGATGGCCCTGTGGACCAGTGGTCACCATGTGAGAGCATACAAAGATCGCACGGCCTGTGGTAGGGCATGGCCGCGCTTGCTTCTGCAGAGCCCTGCCTAGGAGACTCAGCGTGTGCCAAGCAAGGAGCGGGTACGGCAGCCCTGTACCAGCCAGGCCCTGCCAGCTGTTCATTGTGACCCCAAGGTGGGTATAAGCTGCAGACAGAGAACCACTCTCAGGCCTGAGGTTAGGTGGAGTAGTGAGTGACACCTCTGGGAAACTCAAGGGACTTTGGGGGAGCCTAGGCTGCTGTGGTCCTTGAGGGTTACAGTCCCGTGCAGTAGAAGGACTAGAACAGCAGCTCGGAGGACCACAGTGACCATTTCTCAAGGCAGGCAGTAGGTGATAATCCCATAGCATGTACTAATTCCAGTATGCCCAAGTCTTGCTAGAGTGCGTCTTTTTGTGTGCCCTGCCCCCATGGGACCCATGACAGCAGGACAGTGGGACGCTTCTCTATGTGTGCCAGGAGGACGGACTGCTTTGTGGTAGGAGCTAGAGGAGGCCTTTAACTTCCCTCTCGGCGGACCTTGAGGTAGGCAGGGAGGCCTATGAATTCCTGGCTTGAACGTAGCTCCTGGGTGGAGATGAAGGCGACTCGGATCCGTTCATTTCATTTCAGTGCTATAAAATGGAGATAATTACCCGTCTCCTGGCTCCGTGTTGGGTTTACCGTGAACATCAAATGAAGTAGCAAGCGTGGAAGTGTTCTACCCAAACGCTTCAAGGACCTCGGGATCGTTTAACCCAGTTCATTGTGATTCCAGGAGAGGAAACAAGTTCGGAGTGGCTTCAACTTGCCCATGTCCAAGGCAGAAGTGTCTCCTCTCCCCCTCACTGCGCTGTTACTGCTATGATTCAGAGGCCTTGCAACATTTTGTCACTGAAGGAAAAAAAAAAAAGAGTTCAACTATTACCCAACTGACCTTTGGCTCAGAGCATCTCCTTGCCTTCAAAGGCAAAGAGGAAATTTTTAAAAACCAGGGGCCACCAACCATGGAGCAGTTAATCCCAGGGACAAGCAGCTATGCTGGGGGTGGGGTAGGGGGGCCTGCGGCCCAGGAATCCACCTTGATGGAAACTGGCTTCCCTGCTTTCCGCCGACCAAATGTGGTCTGTTCTTGGTGGCTTGGTGGTCAATGTCTTCCTGTCACCAGGCTCCTCTAAATCACCTGGGAGGTTGTTTTGACATTAGATTAGCCACAGCATGTTACTTGTGAGTGCTCCAGCGAGCAAGCCAGCTCTTTGCAATCGCTGTGCTGAGTGCTTTTGCCTGTTAGAGATAGGGCTGTATCAGGAGGGAAAGTGAAGGTGGGCCAGCCTCCAAGAGGGAAGATAAGTGGACTGTTGGGAGAAATTAATACGGGGAAAGGAAGTGGGGAGTGAAGTCAAATGAAAGCCAGGTCTGACGGTCCCTGTGACTCATAAATTTCCTTGATACTGGGGATGTGACATCCCTGCTCCCCCTTAGTTGGTAAACCCCCTGTCCTCAGGACGACCCTGGGGGAGGAGTGGGGAGGGACAGGCCCTGGAAAGCCCGGATAACTTTTAGGCGGAGTTTACAGGAAAACATCCTACAAAACATAAATTTTAGGTAGAATTCATTCAGGGCAGAAGACCAACCCTGGAGGAGTGCGGGGGGGGGGGGGGGGTGGGGGGGGGGGGGGGGCAGTGGTGGAGGCAGGACAGATGTTGGATGGACTCAAGGCCACTGAATATGAATTTTTTTTTTTTTTTTTTTTTTTTTTTTTTTTTTAGTGAAACTGCTCTGGTTAACTTAGTCCCAGCTGTTAATCACAGGCACCCCCTCTTTTGAGAATGAGAGTCTGGCCTCGAACTCCCAATGTAGTTGAGAATGACTTTGAACTCCTGTCCTACCTTCCAAGGACTGGGATGACAAGTGTGCCCTGCTAGCCCTGGTCTCATGCAGTGCTAAGGATTGAACCCGGGGCGTCATCATATCCCACCCACCGAGACACAGCCCAGCCCCCTTCATTATTCTTATCCAGCACGGAACACCCTGGCAAAAGAAATTGAACTGACCATGTGACTCGGGTCTCGCCTATGTCTCCACCCTTGGAGTTCACCATGTCCTCCCTAGAGTCTAAGTGCAGGCCTATGTGTGATTCTGAGCAGGGCTTTTGGAATGTTGGCAGCCAGGAGCCCCACACTTCTCCCAACTCAAGGCAGAGTGGCAGCTGCCAATGTAGTGCCATCGCCCCCATGCTCCTGGCCTGATCCCGTGTTGGAGAGAAGACAGTTCAGGGTAGAGGGGGGGATAGTGAAGAAGAGAGAGAGGACCACACCGAGAAACTAGGGATGAATGTGATCCCAGAATATGAGGATGGGAGAAGTGGACTGAATGTCACATCAGGGGACTTCTGCCTGGCATCACTCCAAAGCTCTGTGACCTTCCTGTCTTAGTCAGACACGTGAGTATAGAAAGGCTACCTTCTCTCAGCTAAAGGAAGGCCTCGTTTGACAGGAGGACCCACTTCAGAGTCCTCAGGTACTCACTTCCCAGTAAGGCCAACAACTGGAGAATACCAGAACGGGCTAGAGGGTCCACAGGATTCTGGAAAACAGGCCTTTCCCAAAAGACAGAGGCAGAGCCTGCCGTGCCTAAGCTCAACTCAAAGCCAGGTGATACCTCCAGTGACTCATCTCAACCCAGGCCTACCGTGGAACTCTCAGAGCAACCCCTAGACGGCTGCAGTTGGCTGTCTTCTGGTTTATGGCAACCTGCTCAGCAGTGCACACTGGGCAATGAGGTTTGAGTGTAGCCGAGGCTTGAAGCGGCTGAAGCATACTCTATGGATGGTCCTTGGTGTACTTCAATTTCTGTAGCTTTCTTCCCAGTAAGACCCTGAGCACTTAGAAGGTGGAGCGGCATCACTGGCTGTTTGGATGACTCTGTTCAAACACACACTTAGGCGACTGGAGAAATAGCTCAGGTGGGACAGTGCTTACCTGGCATGCACGAAGCCCTGTGTTCAATGCCCAGCACTGACTAAGCCAGGTGTGACGGTGCATGTCTGTAATCTGAGCACAGAGGAGCTGAAGATAGGTCGTCCTTGGTCGCACAGCCAGTTCAAGGCCAACGTGGGATACATGAGACCTTGGGTCTCTGGTAGGACAGGACAGATCCGGTGATACCTGGAATCAGTGCTCAAGACTTTCAAAATGGTGACCTGGTGAGTTAATGCAAGCGTCAGTTGCAGAACCTGTTGAGGGCAGCCTGCCAAGCAGACCAGCACCAAAGGAGCTAGGTCCTTTCTTTACTGCTAGGCCCTCCAAGAACAGGGAGAGCAGTTATATGGTGACGTGCACGAGAGGGCATGGAGCCCCTTAAGAGTCAGTTCTGGGGCCTACTCCAGGCCGTCATACATTCCCAGCACGCCCAGGAGAGCACCTCAGGGGGACAGCATGAGAGTGACATGTAAGTCACAGACCAGGTCATCTGGCCGCAAACCAGGCCCTTTCTAAGCCTTTCTGAATATTAAACACTTAGCTGCTTACAGCCTTGTAGCTGGGCGCAGTCACTGTGCCATGTGCATTTCCCAGGTTCATGACTTGGGAAAGGCACAATTTCAACTTCGGACCAGTTCCAGAAGTTTGTCTGCTGCAGTGCCACATACCTTCCGCCCGGGTGACCTCAGTGAACGAACTTCAGGAAGATCAGCATTCTCCTCAAGGTTTTTGGGGTCGGCCACATGCTAAAATGAGCTAATGAAACTGTGGTGGAACCAAGAGCAGCTGAGACTCGGGCGGGGTGCACGGAGGAGGGTTAAAACAGACACACTGCAGCTTTCCCATTATTGAAGGGAAAAACATTAAAAGACAGTCTTAGAGGATACACAGGTGCGAAAACCCTCTTTTGCCGCAGTATCCCAACACTACCGCTCTTAATATTTTACGTATTCCCCACTACTCCTAGGGGATCCAGGGAAAGTGTGCCCTCTCCCATTGCAGGGGAAATGAAAAGAGACATAATGGTTGTTGGAAGGACCCCGGCAACAGCTCCTGAAGTAAAAATCATAAAATAAAGAGTGCACACCCTTCAGCCTCTCAATCTCACTCCTGGGAATCTAGCCCAGGGAAATAAAATCCCCATCAGGTATAAACATAAGGACAGGGTTGTTTATTGCAGCATTATTTAAGTGGTGCTTGTATGTCTGTGTGCATGCCCACACACACAGCAGCACAGAGAGCATGTTTGTTAGGAGAAGGTTGTTAAAGGCACGATAGTGAATAAACCCAATTAAAAAGAATCAGTACCAGTTAACTGTGGATGGGAGGTAAAGACAAAGAAAGCAAGATGCAGGGAAATGTGTGTAGCGTGATCCATACTTTGAATAACGCTGTGACCTGTTTTTCCGTTTCCTATGTAAAGTCTCTTTAGGACTGCACCCATTTATGTACGAACACAGAAGGATATATACTAAGTTCGCTTGGTGGCCTGGTTAGTGCTATGTGTTGACTTGAGACAACCAGACTAGAGTCATCTGAGATGAAAGCCTAGGTTGAGGAGTTGCCTAGATCAGATCAGCCTGTAAGGGATTGTCTTGAGCTTTAGCTGATGTAGGAGAGCCCAGCCCACTGTGGGCGGCACCATCCTTAGGCATGGGGAGCTGGGCTGGATAAGGAAGGTAGCTGAGCATAGATAGGTCTGCAAGCAAGCCAGTAAGCAGAGTCCCTCCATGGTTTCTGCTTGATTCCCAGCCCAGAGTTCCCTCAGTGATGGACTGGGACCTGTTAGGATAAGCCAAATAAACCCTTCCTCTCCCAAGTTACTTTTGGTCAGAGTGTGTATCACAGTGATAGAAAAGAAGTTATGACACATGGTTATCTGACAGAGGGGAATTGAAGGGACTCTGGACATGAGAGGACAGAGACATGGTTACGGAGGTGACAGTGAAAACAGGGGAAGGGGATGGGATTCTTAGGCGAAAATGGAGAAACAAGAAAATTACTTCTTCACTATCCAGTCTTTCTGCAGCCAAGACCAGCTTGCTTCTCAGGTCTAGGTAGCCTGGTGACAGACACTGGAACACATTCCTGCAGCACACAAGAAGCCAGGCCCCTAGTTCAGGCTCCACAGATCTGCAGGCCCGTGTTTCAAGTTCTTTCCACCTCTCTGGTACTGTGTCTGTCCAGTGGCCATCAGTCATTTGGGGACTCTTTCCAAAGTGACCATTGCCTGCCAAGCCTAGTGGGACTCTCCAGCTGATGCTACTGAGAGCGTCACTGTCCCCACAGTTCTCAAGAAAATGAGGCAAGACCCGCGCGCGCACACACACAATCTGTTCTGATTCCTTCCCCCGGGTTCCTGGGCTTCATAAAACAGGAAGGTAGGCTAACCCAGCCAAGAAGGGAAGAAGCTGGAGAAGTCCTGCCCCGAGTGGCTGTGGTGGGGAGGAGTCCAGCCTCCCCTTCCCCATCATCCCTGGCCTTAGAAGGGCAGTGGGAGGGAGGGAGCCTGTTGTCCTCTCACCCCAGTGAGCCACAGCCTTCGTGTGTTTACAGCAGCCCAGAGGACTTGGTGGTGCCTGGGAAGCTGAATGGGAGACTAGGCGCTCAGAGATGTCACTGTCTCAGAGATGTCACAGCCTCACCTGGGCTAAGGGTAGGGAGAGGGGCTGAGTCGCTTTTCACTTAAGATTCTTGGGGTCACAAGTAACAGAAATCAGTTCAAGTTAACTTTATCCTGAAAGGAGCTTTGGCCCAGGGAAACACAAATTTATGGGATTCAAGGCCCTAAGAAGGGCCATTAGTAACCACCACCTCCCTCGGCCTGTCTACTTAACCCTGCCTCTCCAGCCGGCTTCCCCCGCTGATTCTCTAAGTCTCTCCTTCAAGCTGTGTCTCCAGAAGACTGTTTGACTGTCTGCCCTTCATGCCCGTATACCTGGAACA